AAACACATCCAGATTCAGGCGTTGAGGAAACTTAAACCACCACCAGTACTTGGCCCAGCTATTCATGCCTCCAAGCACCCTGTGCGCCCAGTGGCGCCTCCAGCCATTGTGATCCCGTAGCCCAAAGCCCTGAGAAGGTGGTGGTGTGTTAATGTGGAAGGCTAGCGGCCAATGGCTGGGCCAAGTACTGGTGATTTATGGGTGCTAGTGGGGCTTGGCCTCCATATTGGATCCAGTCGAAGGGGCTGTCATCTACCCCTCTTCCCTCGAATCGAAAGTATGGTCATTATAGTTGTACTTTGGGCAACTTTCAGCCTAGATTCAGCCATAATGACTAGGTATTATATATGGGGTCATTATAATTTGCAAGATACCCTTTTAAGTTGAGACCTATGCCAAAATGCCCCCGAAAGATGGGGGTATAGTAGAGAAATGCCCTTTTGGGTTGAAATATTCGTGTCATGCCACTCATGCCCCTGTCCGGCGGGTGTGCAAATTCCCATTTGCAATCGGGACCTTCCCGTCTGGGCCTTGGCCTTTTGCAACTGCCCCTCGGACCGTACCCGGGAGGGGTATATTGTGAAGATGGGGGTCCATTGCAACCGACGTCAGGGTATTTCACAATTTTTAATTTGTTTTTTGTCATAGGGGGAAGTGGGCTCTACCCACATCTTTCAGGGTCATGTTGGCATACATACATCTCAAGATTCTCAACTTTTTTTTTTTTTTTTTTTTTTTTTAATAATTATTTAAAACCTCCTGTGGTGCTACTGGTGCTGATAAAAGCAGACACTGGACCTGGTTTCCAGCCAGTTTTTCTCTCTCTTCTTCTGAGGACACTGCTGGACCTGATTTCCAGTCTGATACCCAACATAGGATGCTGGACCTGTTTTTCAGCAGTCCGGGTTGAATTGTGCGGTCCCCGGCCTCTGTTCTTGTCCTTTCAATACCAAGCAAAGTTTGAAAAAAAAAAAAAAAAAAAAAAGAAGCAGACACAGCTAGCTCCTAAGGGGGGATCTGCTTGCAGAAAGAATCTTGATGAGAGAGTGGGGGCTGCAGCGCAGTGAAGACGTGTGGAGGGCACTGATGATGGAAGCTTTTACAGGCAAAAGGATCAAGTCCAGGTTCCGGAAAGAAATTATGCAGGCATGGCGTTCGATGAAGCCGGACCTCAGAACCCCTCCAAGCTCTAAACAGCAGATTTTGGAGCAGCCCCTGTTTGATAACCCGAGTGTAAGGAATGCGGAGGGCGCCACCTTAACTGCAAAAAAGGGGCCAGGGAACTTCGGGTACAAGTGGGTGCAGAGAGGGGTATCAACTGTCCGGGATATCTGGAACGAAGACTCCAACCAATGGAGAAGCCCAGCTGAGCTGAAAGGGAAACTGGGACAATTACCGGATCAAGAACAGAAAGCTGAGAGCATCAGAGCAGCTCTACCACAAGAATGGAAACACCGCCTGGGCCCCTACGGTGTAAATCCGCCAGGGACGTGGTTTCATGCAGAAGCCCCAGAGTACCATCGTTTCTACAGGTTAGAAGAATGGGATGCAGAGGTGCAAGGGAAGTGCGTGCTTGAAGTCTTTGAGAAGGAAAGTCGAGAGTCAAGTAAGCTAGTCTCATTCGGGACTGTGGTAAGATACGGGCTAAGTGGACTGTCAGAGTGCAGAATAATCTTGAGTGAGGATAAGAAACAAACTCCCATGACGGTAGGTGGGGGTAGAGACTACAGTAAGCTTAGGATAGATCCAGAGGCATGGGGTTGGGCAGGGGTTGACGAGAACACTATTGGACTGAGGAAGTTGGGGAAGAACATGTGTAGGGTGGGCCGAAAGGAGAGGAAGTCCGTGGAAGAGAAACTGACAAGTAGATGGGAGAGAACTATTCACAATATTCCACCTCCGAAGAAGGAAGAGTTAAACAATCTGTGGGAGCAACTGAAAATAATCCCGTCTCAGAAACTAGCATCCTTGCTATGGCTACAGTCCCATCTAGCGGTGCCTACAGCAATGTGGCTCAGAAACAGAGGCATGGAGGCGTTAGACCCCAAGTGTGTCAGATGCGGCTGGCTGTTCGAGGAAGCGAAGCATATGTGGTGGGACTGCCCTAAGTCGCAGAAGTGGTGGAAGTGGTGGCTGTTCAGCTGGAAGGAAATCACAGGGAGAAACAAGTTCACAGACGAAAGGTGGGTGTTGTCGGGAGCGGTGCCAGATGAATATAAGAGCAAAGAGGGCTGGGGCTATATGGCACAGGTCACAAGAGCCATAATGCTTGGGCTAATCTGGAAAGACAGGAACATGAAAAGATTCGATAACAAGGAGCTTGCTGATGGGCAGGCCTACCAGCTCTTCAAGTACCTCTTAGCTAATGAGATTAGAGCGGACTGGCAACGCACCAGGAAGAAGAAGGGTAAAGGAAAAGGGGTGAACTGGTTTCTTAAGACCTGGGCATTGGGTTCGTGCTTCGCAACAGTCACGTTAGAAGGTAGAATGGTACTCTCCCAGTGGCTTGGTCAGTAGGACAAGGATATAGGGACTTCAGGGAAAGATCAGTTTTCAGTGCTAGCCCAGAACCAGGTCTCTTGGACCAGGGTGCAGTTAGGGGCGGGTACAAGGCATGGAGGTGCCGGGGTACTACCAGGTCCACTCGGTTATGTTGTGGTATGGCCGCAGTAGGCCCAAATAGGGGAGGTGGGTGGAGAGTGGCAAGATACGAAGGAACAAATTGTTCCATCTGGCCGGATATAGGCCGGAGTCCAGACCACTGGTAGGTCTGTGTAGTAGGAGTAGGAGAATAGAA